GGCTGCTCGAGCTAAATCCTGCAAGGACGAGAGCGAACTATTTCTTGCCCTTGGAATGCTGCGTTGTTCTGGTTGTAATCCTCTTTAGTGCTGAGGCGTCTTAGGGGGCACTGGGGCATTGACTGCGAACGGTAACCTGATCATCAAAACCGAGCGGGAAGGATGTTGGAGAGAGTCTCGTATCCCAATACCAGCTGGGCAGCTTGGTTTGAACCTCCAGACGACCTGTGAGGGGATTATGTCCGAGCCTAGTCTGCTTACGGATGGTGGCCTTTAAAACTTCGTCGGACTGCGAACGGTCGTGGGTCTCCGCGGCTGGTTGTAGGTCTTTAAAACCGTCCAGCGAGATCATATAGCTCAGGTAGGTGGTGCGAACTCCAGTTGCTCGTGCGCACAAGCGTCAGGGTTCCGCCTATGATTTAGTGGGAGCAGAGCAGCCTTGGGAGTAACTGACCGCTCTCTGGGGATCCAGTCTCTTAGACCAGAATAAACATCTTTGCACAACAGCCCCGAGAGGTGTATATGATTATTGTCTCTGTGCAGGAAGCGTTTCGGACTTTTGGTGGTTCGGGATGTGGAATGTTCTCATAGGCTAAGGTGAGGTGGGTAGGGAGAGGGGAGCCACCGGAAAGAGGATCGTCAGCATTTTAGGTACTCTTGTTGGCTTTATCTTGATTAAAAAGAATTATTACTGATCCAAAGATGATGGTTGTATGCTATCTGCAAGGTGGAAATGCAATTATGTGACCAAATCATGAGAGTGGCCATGACCCGCTGAGGTGGGGTAGTACGTACCATCTGAGAAGCAGCCATAGTTTGGTTGAGACCAGAAAGTGCGGAGTGGAAAAACACCTACCACTGCGGGAGCGTTAATGGGGTGCCTGCCATGGGGTGCTCATTTTCATGCCTAAACGTAGCTCAGGTGTTGTCTACTCAGCAGGGATACTGGCTTTGGGGGGGAAATGGGTTTCCGGGAATAATGATAGTACCGCCCGCTCCTTCGGAGACCTTGTTGAAAATACGACGTAAAACGCTCAAGTCAAGTAGAATGAATTTAACGGATAGAAAAAGAAGGTTTTTGACTAAATACCTTTGAATACATGATTCAGACTTTTTGTTCATGTATTGCTATAGCTTTGGGCATACATAAGTAGGGGGAAAAGTGAACTTTTATAGCGACTAAATTCAGCTCTGTAGATAGGTAAATTCAAAGAAGCAGATTGACTTGATTCAAGAAAATGTTGGCAGGAGGAAGACGTCATCTTAACTTGCGCCAACCAAACCGGTTGGTAAGGACATGCTCTACGGGAGTACGTGAAAGACTAGATGTACACTGAGGTGGACCTAGGAGGTGGTTTATCCTTCACGCATTGCCAAATTATACTTTTAAATTTCCTTGACAAATTTTCTTGACATACTTTTAAAACTCTTAATAGCAGTTCACTTATTTACTAATTTTTTTTACACTTTTTAATTCATTCATTTCAACTCTTCCCGTTTTGGTACATCATATTAATTATCATTGTTCTTTTTACGAGTTGATCACGGATTGATATCAGTTAGAGAACCATTGAAAACCAGCACTGGAGTACTGGACAGCTGTTTCATCCTAGTTTGGTAATCGTCATCAGTACGCTCCCCCTGGGGTTCGGACCCAGGACCTTCCGGTTACAAGGCAAGCTCGTGTACCATTCAGCCACTGGGACCCGATTCAATGGCTCATGAATTCTAACTACTACCAATTCGTGATTTAGCGCGACCCCAACCAATGTCGTCTGTGAGACATCCATCCTCGCACGTGACATCTAGTTGAAGCTCACTGGTCACGACTTTTCACCAGAACTCCAGGAAACTCCATCCTGTAGGAAGTCACTAGCGAGCACTACAGAAAATTATTATTGTCATCAAATATGACCCTTAAACCCTTCAATTAGTTCGTCTACTCCGTACAGCTGAAGTGGTCAGTATCCCCCTGACAAAACCAACCCTGTGTGTATCCAGAAGAAATTCATACAGCTATTTTCATTAAACTTGGCCATCCTGGATTGCTTGTGAAGGTCCTGACAATCACTTCCTCCCCCTAAACCATTTATAAGTTACTCTTTTTCTAATTATCGTATCTTCTGCCCACTTTGCACTTAATTGTTTATTACTAATTCAAACTTATCGCTTAACTCTACGTCGAAAAAATTGTGCACTCTGCAATCCACTTGTTTAATTTTCTCGCAAATATTTCTCGTCTTTAATTGTTGAATTAGTTTTCTTGGTTGATCATCAACCTCTCCACCTCCTTGTTAAGTTTTCTAATATAGATTCCCTCGAGGTGACAAATAAACTTCCAGATATGTACCATAACATGTAAAAAAGGTAGAGTTCAAGCCCCTTGTTAAATGTTTTACAAAACCTCAAATCAAAACAGAGTACATTAGTCCATATAGTAGTGACATATCACTACTCATCCTGGTGGCACTACTGTATACATGATCAAGAAATGTTAATGGACATTTATGAATAAACAGCTAGACCAGACAGCAGCTGGAAATTGATTAGTCTGCGTTTGTGAATGTTAAGGGTACGAAATGATTTTTTGAATTCTTGCATTCAGAGTGCATCATATGGCGTGAAGTCCATGAAGTTTTAGTAGCGTGTGCTACTGATAAGATTTATCAGGACATGGGTGACACGAAAAGAAGACAAAGAAGAAACACAATACCGGGAGGGCAGAAGTGGCACAAAACGGAAGATATGTGCAAATGACGATTCTCATTTGTCTTGTACATAATTTCCCCAAATAGAGATATCAAATTCCAAATAAATATCCCATTACCAAATCCCTCTTCTTCTGACGGTAAATTTGGTGTCACTGCCTCCAGACTATAAAGATCCCATGGCCAATTCCTTTCAAAGGTGGAGACATCGGTAACTTTCTGAGGGACTCTGATGCTATCGCCGAGTTGGCGGGCGTCAAGGATCCAACAGTGAAGGTGGTTTTGCAAACGTAGTTCAAGAGAGGTTGATTAAAAGTCGCCGTACGACATTATGAAACATTTAGGTGATAAAGTGACCTGTAAGGTACTAAGTGAACGATTGGTCTTCGACCATCAGACAGCTAACAATGCAGCGCTTACATTCCACGAAGCTGAGACATGAGAGAGACCATTTAGAGCTGGTAGTGAAGTTGGCGAATCTGCTACCCCTACATTGGATGAAGAGTCAATTCTCCAAGGGATGAGGTCACTAGCTCCACTCCAAACCCTCATTCTTTTCCAGGATTACCACTGAATAACTGAGGTTTAGGAGTGTGTTGGCTGGGAATCGAGCCCAGACTACTCGCGGCTTGGTCAGCGGGAAATCTGCCACCGAACCACAGATGCACGGGTATGCATATGTGAAATAAAACCCTTAGCTGTAGTATCTCAAAATCCTGATGTATTGATGAAATTAATATTCACTTAGGAATTTTAAAAATGCAATTTTTTTATTCCCTACCTGTTTGAATTCCACTAACCAAAAAACTCTAAATTCCAAGCACCCAAAAACAATGAGTGATTTATTAATATGCGAGTGGATTTCTAACAAACGTTTAATCATCCAATTAGTATTCAACTGTGAAATATGTGTACATCATAAAATAAAAGTCAATCTTGAAGAGTTTTGTTTTGTAGGGATTTGATTTGTCTCAAGTTTGATCACGGATTGATATCAGTTAGAGAGCCACTGAAAACTACCAGGTAGTACTCGACAGCTGTTTCGTCCTAGTTTGAGACTCACTTGCAGTACACACCCACTGAAGGGTTTGGAACTCAGGTTATTTTGGGTTACAAAGCAATCTCGTAGAACATTTAACCAATGGGACCTAACTCAATGGCCAGCACATAAATTCTAACTTGTATCAATTCGTGATTTGAAGTTGAAATCTTTACAAACCAACTCTTCAGAATTAATCTAATGCTCGCTAGTGACTGACCGGCTACAAGACGAAGTTGTTTGTAGTTCTAGTGAGAAGTCATGACCAGTAGGGTCCACCAGTTCGGGAATGAGGACAAATACTTGCCAACAATAACACTGGCTGGTGCTAGTCGTGCTAAAATCACGAATTAGTAGAAGCTGGAATTCATGTTTTAGTCAATGGGTTCGGTCGCAGTGGTTGAATGGTTTACGAGATTGTTTTGTAACGGGAAGGTCCTGAGTTCGGTCCTCTGCGATAGGCGCTTACTGCCGGTGACTCCCTAACTAGGAATAAGTAGCTGTCTAGTAATGCCTCCTGGCTTCCAAAGGGTTCTCTAACTGGTATCAATCTGTTACCCAACTTGAAAAGGTTAGTCTGAATGAAAAATATTCCTTTCACTAAATTCCCTTCAGTTGCTTATAATTATAAAGTAGAATATTTGTCGGTACAGTAAAAGACAGATACACGTTTGTTATAAGGTGACAGAGTAAATGGTATTTGTGTGACAAACCTACTGTGCTGAATGGAATTAATAATCACGAATTGGTAGAAGTTAGAATTCATGAGCCATTGAATCGGATCCCAGTGGCTGAATGGTACACGAGCTTGCCTTGTAACCGGAAGGTCCTGGGTTCGAATCCCAGTGGGTGCGTACTTCCGATGATTCCCAAACTAGGGTGAAACAGCTGTCCAGTACTCTTTGGCTGGTTTTCAGTGGTTCTCTAGCTGATATCAATCCGTGATCAACTCGTAAAAAAGAATTAATAATATTGTGAAATGCGAGACGATGATGGGCATTAATCGTAGTAGGTTCATACAACGTGGGGGAAAGGAAATTGACAAATCAGATCAAGGTTATAAAAGATGTTAGGTGAGGGGCTAGTACAAAACAATATACATTAAAGAGATGGTAAGACTGCAGTGGATAGCTCATCATAAAATAACTAGCATGTGAAATGAAACATATAAAGGCATTATATTGAGGAAAGAGATAATATCATTAATAGAAAGTCAGAATACTATAATAATAATAAAAATAATAATAACTTACTTGTACATGTTTATTCCCATATTTTAATAAATTTATTGCCAATTCATTGGCCATTATAAATACAGCTTCTGAAGTATTTGGATTTTCTATACACTTTATAATTAAATCACATATTCCATTTGAGCATAGAAAATAATGTGTTGTATCTCGATCACTGTTGTGGTTCAATGTCATTGTGTTTGAATGCCATTTACCTTCAGATGATGGGTGCTAAAGTAAAATTGTAAATAACAGCAACTTAAATAGACAGATAAATAGATACATTTTTATAGTACTATTTGTCAGTCTTATTGAAATTCCTAAAATTGAAAATGTCCCTGAGTAACTGTAACCACAAGCAGCCAGTGGAGCCAGTTACATAAGCCGAACAATAAGGCGTGTTACAGATCGGAGGATTTCCGAACAGCATCCTGAGTGGTTGGTTAAGCAAAGGACAAACAAAATCCATTCATAAAGCTATTCTATCTCATCTTGTGGATACAGTACACAAGAGTGATGTTAAATTTACCTTGAGAGTTCGTCTATTACATATCGCTGAGGCTGTTGGGATCCACACTGAGAAAGATAACCTATGTATCCTAAAGAGGTTGGTTCAGGCACTGTCTTTAACTCGGCTGTCAATCAGGGTTTTAATGATCCTCAATTTTTTGTAGGAATCTCCCTAATTTTATTTGACATTCCATTTGCTATTATATTTTTATTTTTATTATAATTTATGCATCTCTCGTGAACTGTAATTCCATTGATCTTACTTAAAAAATTGATAGTATTTAAGAACATCAATACTGATAATGGTGACTTCTGGAAAATTCTGGGTATATAAACGCATATATATGTATATATAACTGTACAGCTAGAAGAGGAAATAATCGAAAAGAATATCCTTTGCTCAATTATTTTTACAATGTGTCTGTCAATTGTTCAAACGAAATTGCGCTTTCAAATTCGATGATAAACTAGCTTCAAGTAGAGTACCACTGAAACCAAGGAGTACTGAATAGATGCTCCGCCTTACTCAGGAACTCCTCAGTGGCAGACACCAGGGATCCTACCCAGAACTTTCAGGTTACAGGGCGAGCTGACTGACCATTCAGCTACTGGGACGGAATCCGATGGGCCAAACATTTCTAACTTCTGTTAATTCACGAAATATAGCGTGACTTCGGATAAATTCATCCTGTATTTGGTCAAAAGCGGGCACTAGAATAAATTTTATGTGCTTTTTACAGGTACTTGATCGATCTCAAATATGCCACTGATTGATACCACGGGTTCACGAGGTTCAATGTGAAGACAAATACACCCTGATGACATTGTCTGGCGGTCAAGCCAAAATTCGTAAATCGACAGTAATTAGAATCATTGGGCCATTGAACTTCGTCCCAGTGGATGAGCAGAAAAACAGGTCACCTGGGAATATGGAAGTCCCGGGTTCAATTGCCTGTAGAGTGATGGGTTAGTGTTGCTGAAGAGCCGCAAACTAAGACGAAACAATTGTCTAGCACACACTAGTTTCCGGTAGTTCTCAAACTGAAGTCATTCTGTGACGAATCTTCAAATCAGTCAAACCCCTGCAAAACAACACATTTTAATTAAATTATGTCGTTTTATTTTTCTCCTATTTCAAATGCATTTGCTAAAATTATTTTGTTATCCCTTTAACTACTTTAAATGTAACTGTTAACTCCTTTAATTAGACAAAATTCAGTGAAAAGCATCCACGAAAATTTCAGAAAGCATATAGAGAAATCTTTGACTTAAGGGAAAGATGGGTACAGCACTCAGTAATTCGACAGAGAGGAAACATACTAGATATGGACACCTTTAAAACTTCACTTAATGATAAGAAAGACTTGATAGTTTCACGGACAATCATGATACACTGCCGTGAAAGTTTTATAGGTAGCCTTCTTCGAAATTAATCTTAATGACAGAGAGAAATTAAGCATAAGTTTGCTTTTCTATTTGCAATTAATTTTCCAAAGAATACATTCTGATTTGATGCACGACATGTACAAAAGAGCCTTAGTAAAGTGTCTCTTCAGTAGAATCCAAAGAATATGCACTGCAGATACACTTGGTGAAGAAGGAAAAAAGTTGACACAAACTCTGGTGGATAACAATTATCCAGGCAAGTTCATCAGGAGATATAAGGTAGTCGGACTACCAAGACCCATTCTACAACTCGCCCCTAAGAAAGATGTGCACATCAAGCTACACTATATGGGGCATCAAAGCAGCTTGATAACTAGACAAAGACTGAACGCAGCTGTCAAAAAGACTTTTTATGCAGCCAATATCATAATAATAGAGAAGGTCAAGCCAATATATCTATCTAAGCCCTTTGAACTTGCGAAAAATTACGTCACCTCCCACTGTATTTACCAATTTGAATGTAAGTGTGGACACACATACATAGGGAGGACTCATCGATCTCTGCATGTAAGGGCTTCAGAGCATATTCCTAAATGGCTCTAGAAGCAAATAGAATCTTCAGAACCCATTAATGGTGAGAACAGTCGACCTAGCGAAACATATTATACAGACAGGACATTAAATTGACGTTAACAGATCTATTAAACCCATCTATAGAACGTGTTTAGGGTGTATGCTAAAGATTTTGGAAGCCCTAGCTGGCAATTAGAGAGTTGAAGCCACCTTTATGCGTTCAAAAACAATTTGTCATCACATTAAACCTACCTTGGTAAATTTTGTTTTGATACCAACCAGGGTAGATGTACTATTACGTCTGCTATTTGGTTTAGCGGTCTTCATTGTTATTTTGACCTTCAATATGTCCTCTTTTTAACTTGACCTAAGTCCATTTTCTCACCTCTTACCTCTTTATTAATTTCATATATATTCCTATGACAAGTCCGTGTGTGTTGCGCAAATACATTACACGATTCAGATAATTTAGTCTGCAAATTTTCTCCTAAATCACTGACAACTAGTTTGTTTCAATTTCCAAAAACAATAAAATAGTGCATAAATGAAGTCATATCATTAAGTAGCAAATGAATTTATTATGTATATATTTATTCTCCATTCTATTACGTTTAAGCTGGAACATAAAGCCTCCACGTTTGTACTTTAACGTTCCAATAGCAATGGTGTTGTTTTAAATGGGATGGGACTTTGACTTCGTGTCCAACTCTCCCTTTCTTACCTACCTTACAACCAGTTAAGTAAAGTTCAGGATCAGTTCAGAATCAAACCAAAACTGTGTGCGTAGTCAACGACCACTCTACCACTGATCCACTGACACACAAACACACACATTCATAACTACACAGTGATTGACGTTTAGGAGCCGACTACCTCACTAATGACAAAATCACTGTAAAAATGGTTTAACATTAATATTAGAAAAAACACGTAACGAAATATACCGTATATATACATACTTTTTCCACAGAGGTTTTTGATAAAGATGTGAAAATTTGCAAAAGCTTCACAAATTGATCTTCAGAGCCAATTTTAATCAGATCATAGGCATGCTGCATTAACCTGAAATAATGCAAAGTATGAGTTTAAGTCAATTATTACCACTTTGTATCGACAAAAAGATGAATACTTGAAAACGTATAGACCTAATACATACTTCATAATATACCTAAAATGAAGTTGATTCACCCAAAATTAAAAGACTCATATTACATGTTCACATATTAATCTTGTCTTCTGAAAGTATTAGGAAAAGATTGGACAAAGTTGAATCTGAACAGACCTATTTGATTGTATGGAGAATTTCACCATGAGCTGACATCAGTTAGAGAACCACTGGAAAACCTGGGAGTACTGGACAGCTGTTTCATCTTAGTTTAGGACTCTTCATCGGTACGCATCCACCGCGAGGTTTCAAATCCAGGACCTTCTGGTTACAAGGTGAGCTCGTAGACCATTGAGCCACTGGGACCCGATCCAATGGTCCTTAAATTCTAACTTCTGCCAATTCTGCCAGAAGGCCCTGGGTTCGAACCCTCGCGGTGGATGCGTACTAATGAAGAGTCCCAAACTAGGACGAAACAGCTGTCCGGTAGTCTCAGGTTTTCCAGCGGTTCTCTAACTGATGTCAGCTCATGATTAAATTCTCCATGCAATTAAACAGAATCCCTACAAAACTGAGACCTATTTGAAACAAAGTTTTGTTAAGATCAAATTACATACTACTGATTGATCGGAATGCGTACTTGCATACTACTCATATGAACCAGCAGTGCGAGCGAAACTGCCTACCACTGTCTAAATCACTTCCATCTGACTAGCAAGCATTGCTTGTAGATATGATTGGTACGCAACTACTTATTCTGATCAATCAGTAGTATATAGTTTTATATGCATATTCACTTGCTTTCTTGATTACTGTTTATGGTATCAAGCAGGTCACATATTTTATGGTCGGAATGACTTGATTGCGAATCTGATTTATTAGGGTCAGGTTTGTTGCTATTTGCATAAATTTGGTTTCTAATGTTTACTCTTTTTTGTATCAATCGAAATCTGGTGGTCACTCAACTAGAAATTATACCAATCTGTTTCAAGCCTATGTGCAAGTTTGTAATCATTATAATCAATTGTGTGTATTGTAGTCTGCCTGGATATATTCACATTTTTTTACAAACATAATTTGTGTATTACAGAAAAGATCAAAGTTGGGGGAGGGGGGTCGGTGGCACAGTGGTTAGGACTCTCGCCGACCATGCACATGGTCCGGGGTTCGATCCCCTGCCGGCGCACACCCGATATCTATGGTTGGCCTGAATTTGGGCTACCGGTATCCATGCTGAAAATTCCACACTTGTACTGAAAATACGGTGTGGAATCAAGCTGTAAATCAAAATAAATAAAAATAAATAAATATTTGGATGTTTTATTTATTTGGTGACTAACAGCTTTCAGAAGTCCAATTTCAGAGAGTCCCAGAGTTCTCGCATACAGTTTTCTTCAGCGATGCCGGCTAAATTCCCCGACTTCTCACTTACAGCTGCAGTAAACGTGTGATTTGTAGATGTGTCCCTCAGTCTCTAGATTTTGAAAGCTTTCAACCAGGACTTAAAGATTTTTTGCAATAAATAATGGTCTCAGCCCACATCTCCTCTTCTGGATCTTCTGTCCAGTAGATTGTGTCGCCCGATTCTTGACATTAGGATGAAGTTTGTGAGACCTTCAGTATGTTCGTAAGGTTAAATCCATGTCGCCTAATGCATATCCTTGTACTTGTTCACATTAACTCCTATTGTCAAATTATCGAAGGTGAAGAAGTCTGCAAAGACACCTCTCATTGTCATATAAGTCAAAATTAACGATCTGTAGTTAAAGAGAGAAGCTTAGAAATAAGGTGCGCACAATTTATGCCAGAAATCTCGTTATTTGACGAAAATGATCAAGGGAACATCTTGTACGAGATTTTGGGTGAGTATTACCCTGTTATAACAACCACTTAACATTGAAGTTGGTGTAATTTCACTGGCAGACACCACGAATCGAGTAGAAGGGCATCTATTATCTCTTAAAGATAGGTAATTTCATTTCAGTCACGTTTTATTATCCCTTTTGTGATCATCAATTAACTTTCTTCAGTATGGATCTGAAAGGCTTGTTTGGCACTAGCTAAATTATGTCATCTCTTGCGTAGACATGACATCCGGCCGTCGATCAAAGGACGTTCGTACTGCATACCACTTCCCTGTCTCCTTTTTTATAGCTGTGGAAAATGGCCACTGAAAGTGTTAGATATGAAAAGGCTAGCTGCTTTTGATCACAGGTATCTGCATTATGTTCCCCCAGTTAAGTGTTATAATATAGTAAGGAATACTGAGGTAAGGTGTTTATTGCTAGGTAAGAAGGGTGAGGTAAATCGATGAAATTGGGAAGCTAAATCGGTTGAGATTATTTGGACACTTGTTGCGTCTGCCGAGTAGTCGCCTTCGTCGACTAGCAATCTTACCTGAAATAAGGTTGGGCTGTGAAATAGTTAGTGATGGTCGAAAAAAACGTGGCATTGATCTTTGAAATCTGTGACAGTTAGCTTGGGCCAGCAACTTAAGGAAGCATAGAATGATTGGTTGGGGTCCCCAGGATGCTAAAAGTCAGTAGCCAGAAAATGTTGGCAATATGGCTGAAAGTCGTCTTCATTTATGCGAATGCATTCACTGTTTGTAATTCTACAGATCTAATTAGACCTCCTGTTTTCTCCCGTGTTAATGTTCTTTATTCCGTACGCTTCTACTCACTATACTTCTTTTGAATCACTTTTTTCTGAAATTGTGGGCTACACGGAGTGTGGTAGTTTCAACTGATGCACTTCTGTGGTGAGATCTATATTAAAACTCAGTCAGTCAATCAGTCTTCTGTGTCTTAACGCCATCAGCTATGAAGTCGCTTTAATATCTTCATAATGAATCAAGTTACATAGTGCAAAATAAGCACGCAGAAAAAAATTCACAAACACATTCAAATTATGAATTAGTTAACACAGAGTACACCTCCCACAGGACTATTTCCCGACTAATAATTTATGATATAACGTTATTAGTAATCTATTTTTTCCAGACATTCATATTTTTTTTTGTAACACGAAAACGTATAAAAGTTTAGTAAATACGTGAACATATGATATATGCCCATGTATCTGAATAATATATGCCCTATGTGCCTTTAGTAAATTGTAAATCATAAAAATTAACATTTGTAAGATGACATTTGAAAATCTCAGTTTGCGCATACTGATAATGACATAATCGGCATTACGAACGGGGTTAACATCAATATCTCGGTTGCTGTTGGAACCCATTCAATAAATTCTAGGTGTATCTGTAACCTGCACCAACTTATCTGACTGTATCTGGTCCACGTGTTCTTTCAAAATTGATTCCCTAATCGACGTATAATACACTTCTAAAATTGCATAGATAAGCCGAAAATTGCTTGTTTTTAGTTTGGTTTGCATTTCCAGCTAGCGGATTCCATTGTTGAAGCCTTGGACATTCAGGCGAAGAAATTCAAGCTATTCATAGAAGGGAAAATTATTCAAACACTTCTACTATCTTAGTAACAAACGTGTCGGATTATTTTTTTTCTAACTCTATAGAACAGTTGTATTTCTCTAGAACTCTTGCATAATTCCATCCTGATTACAACTCATTAAATTACTCATCTTATTACGTCATTCGAATACTCTGTGAACATCTTCTTGTGTATCGAATAATACTTACAACTATATGACAACTCCTTACTTTTGTAACTACCCTTTTTCATGAAAAAATTGCATATAAATGCGATTTTACAGTTAAATGAGATTATGAATACACCGAAAAGAGCCTCTTCGTTGAACTATGTGTTTTGTTTTCATCATTGTCTGGATGGGGATTATTCATGAACTGAAAAGTAGCTAAGACCCCTTGACAGTCAAAGGATTCGATGCGTTTCTATGGTACTCTGTCAAGCTTACTATAGTGGACGCGAAAATTAGTTTTTTTTCGAGGACGGTGTCACTAATCACGAATATCTAGAAAGCATTGTGACGCAATCATATGTATCCTTATGCGAAGTCATATGAAGACATCACGCAGTGAACTGTACTGACTCCATTCGACCATGCATCCCAGAACTCCAGAGGAATATTTCTCAAACCCAAATGTTCTACCTGTGCTAACATATCAGCCCATAGTACAGATGATTCGAAGAGGTCTATGCAATAACGAGAAGTAATTCTGATTGATGATGATTAGCAGTGGAATCCAGAATGCAGCGTTTTATCTCATTTGAGAATTGTCGGCTGGGTGGACCTGTAATCTTTAGTGGGTGAAATGATAGCGCTTCCAGTGAGACTCGAGTCCTGTACCTATCGTTTCAAACTGAAAATTATTTAATTGGTTGGAGGATTTCATTATGAGCTGACATCAGTTACAGAACCATTGGAAAACCAACTGGGAGTACAAGACAGCTGTTTCGTCCTAGTTTGACACCCTTCGGCAGTACGCACCCACCTCCAGGGTTTCAACCCAGGACCTTCTGGATACAAGCCGAACTCATAGACCATTCAGCCACTGGGACCTGATACAGTGGCCAGTCCATGAATTCTTACTTCTGCCGATTCGTGATTTAGCACGACCACTTCGCACTGTCTTCTTCGATGAGTTACTGCCTCACCTTAATCTGATGCTCACTAGCGACTAGCCCTATTCATGGACTTAACCTGGGATTCTCCTGAGAAGCCGTGACGAGTAGGGTGCAGCAGGTTGAAGGTGAGGCAGTAACTCATCGAAGAAGACAGTGCGAAGTGATCGTGCTAAATCACGAATCGGCAGAAGTAAGATTTCATGGACTGGCCATTGAATCAGGTCCCAGTGGCTGAGTGGTCTATGAGTTCGGTTTGTATCCAGAAGGTCCTGGGTTGAAACCCTGGAGGTGGGTGCGTACTGCCGAAGGGTGTCAAACTAGGACGAAACAGCTGCCTTGTACTCCCAGTTGGTTTCCCAATGGTTCTGTAACTGATGTCAGCTCATGATGAAATCCTCCAACCAATCAAACAAAATCCCTACGAAACCATTACTTGAAAATTATTTAAGCAGAATTACTACCGCAAAGTGGATTTTGTCACGAATCTACATCCGTTATAGAGAATCACTGAAAACCGAGGATCACTGGACAGCTGTTCCATTCTAGTTTGGGGCTGCTCAATAGCGGGCACCCGTAGTCCACTAGAGATCATTGCGAAATGTTCATCTCACTTAATTCAAATCTCTATCAAACCTGAGATTTGAAAAAGTATAACTGTTGTTTGTCTGATGATTGCTAACAGTGAAATCCATCCAGTGAGTTTCTCTGACTTTTCATGTCCAATAACATCAATCAAACAAAAAACACTGTGACCAATTTTAAAAACCCACACAAAAGTTAAACTAGAAAACCAAGATATAATAATTACTTACGAGGCTATAAATGCATTGTATGAAAAACTATCACTTCTAATTGTTTGTAATTCAATTGAATTCAGTGGATATTGTAAAAATTTAACAAGTGAATCATACTCTTCATGAATAGATGAAGTAAGATGATGTTCCATTTCTTTAATCATATACTGAAAAGAAAAAAGAAAAGTAGAAAAGATAGTTGACACGATAATTTATGACAAAAAATGTTTATTACACACGTTATCTTGATAAATGGATATGATATGTAAAGGAATTCACAAAGGAAGCTTTAGGGAATTCTGTTAAGTGAAGATAGAAGTAAGACAAGGCTGCCTGCCATCACCGATGATATTCCCAGTTGTATTGGACAAGATCATGTGGCAAACCGTGCAAAGCGAGAAGACAGGCATACATTGGACCAACGAAAAGACTCTGGAAGACATGAACATCGTAGACGATTTGTGCCATATGTCACATAAAGTCGAAGATCTGAAGAGGAAAACTAACAAGATGTCACAAGCAACAGTGAAGTCAGGATTTCGAGTGAACATAGAGAAGATGGAGGTGATGAAGACAACCAACCATCAACAACAACAAGAACTAATCACTATCACAGGAAGAAACCTGAATGAGGTAACTTCTATCATATATCCGACTGTAAAGCATAGTTTCAACTACAAATGGCATTCATGAAGATGTCGAAACCAAACAACCAGGATCGGAAAAGCAAGGCAGACATTCACTTAACTGAAATCAGCGTGGAAATCTGCTGCACTCAGTATAAAGAACAAGATTCGGATTTTCAGCATTAATGTCATATCAGTGCCTCTATTTGGCTAAGAGATTTGGCACGTCATGACAAGCCTTTTGGATATGCTAATGCTTTCTTTAGGATCTGCGTCTTTCCAAACTGAAGATTAGCTGACCGGTGAGATGTGATAAGCAACGACGAACTCTTTCATACAACAAGAGAAAGACCTTTCCTTCTTCGACATATACGATGAAAGAAGGGCAGATAGATAGCACAAACTCTGAGAAGACTGCTGAATGATATCACGCGTCAGACAAACCATCGAGTGGAACTTGAATGGCAAACGACGACTTAGAGGTTTGAGAGTGACATGGAGGAAATCATGTGAAGAAGTAATGAAAGATTGTCAGCAGTCATGGAGCCAGCTAAGAAGGACTACAGAAAGCAGAATGAAATGGAATTGTGTTCCATTTAGCACCCGAGAGAATAATGATAATAATAGGAACGGGTGAGCAGAATGAAGGCCAGTAATAAATATTTTGGAATTTTCAACATTACGTTTAGTGATTGGCGATGTATTTAAATCCCTGGACTACCAAACGCAATACATCATCTTTTCATTATTCAAGCCATTGGCGCTTAAATCAAACATGGATAATAACATCTTGGTAAATTCTAGTCTCCGTTTATAATAGTATAAGATAAAAGTTAGGTGAAATACCGTATTAGATAAGTTTATTTGATTTAACACACATTGATACGGTATTAACAAGTAGATGAATTTTCGAGAACGATTTGTTGTTCATAATCAGATCAGTTTAGTCAGATGGCTTCACAGTTTGCTCTATTCCCTCTTCCTTCTTTTTCTTCATTGTCATTTTCAATATATCCAGTAAAGGCGTTGTGCCACTTTGGTTTCAGGTATTCGATGTTGATTTGACGAAGTAAGTTTCATTAATTAACCTGTCTCTCTCTCCAGTTAATTATGTAACATGTTTAGCAATTTTACTCTACTACAACGGTGGCCTGCTTGAATCAATGGGCTAATTGAATTTGAATCCAAGATGATGCATCTTATTTCCTTCATTTCTTGTTATTATAATCATTCAATTACGTCTATCGTTCGCCAAATGTATTCATTATTATTACTGTTTCCTTTACTTTCTAGAGGAACATAGGGCTTCAATGCTGCGTCTTCACTGCGTTCCGTTCTCTACCGACATTTTCACTTGGCTCCACGTCTGCCCACATGCTTTCATCTCCTCTTCACATGATCTCCTCCATGTAACCCGACCCTCCCATTGACGACCAACTCGCCGCTTCCCATTCGGCCGGGTTCCACTAGAGAGATGGCCTGTCGTGTGATGTTACTTGATGGTTTACTCAGAGTATGGTCAATCCACCTCCATTTCTTCCTGCACATTTGTTGTACAGTCGGTTCCTGGTTGGTTCGCTCCCATAGGTCCCTAGCGCTGATCTTTTCTATCCTGCCATCTGATCTTGAATAGTATTGAGCGAAGACAGCTGTTGATGAAGGCATGTAGTTTGTTCGTAGGGGCCTTTGTGACACGCCAAGTCTCTGATTCATCCGTATAGTAGCACTGACTTCACATTACAGCTTAAAATCCTCATCTTATTTTCCATGCTGAGCGCTGTTGATTTCCACATAGACTTGAGAGAAATGAAAGCTTGCCTTGCTTTCCCGATGATCCTCGCTTTGATATCCTTATCAGTTCCGTCGGCCTATAGTTGAAACGATGCTTTCCAGGTAGGTAATTGGTTTGCAACCTACTTTTACCCAATTCTGGGATCCAAAGAAAAATACCATATAGAATTATTTTATTTTTTAGATATAACATCACTGCATCACATGATGTACCGGACTTGGATGTTTTACTTGAAACTCCTGGATGAAGAGTAAATATTAAGCCATAAACTACACTGAAAATTATGTATATTGTGTAAATGTATTGTGCATAATAAATCTATCGTTATTACTATTATTAAATGGAGGCGAACGCACTGTAATGGCTGAGTTATTCTTCCAGGTTAGCAACGTCAGTTATTCTAGATTTAGCTAAATTTTTATGTCCCAGTAATCTAATTAACTGCTGTATACTATTATGACCTATGTAACTGACCTCACAGTCAGTATTACATGGTATATAGTAATTATATTATTTTTGTTGAGTAGATCCGTCGGATCGTTGTGTAAGTGATTTAGTTCTTCTAAATGCTACTCTGATTCCAGCCTCACAAAGCATAGCGCAAAGCGCTTCTGATGTTCCTTCTTTTTAAACAGAAGCATCATCGAGGCCTTACATTCCTTATTATTGATATTATTTTCATTATTTACCTGACTAATCCTACTTTCTTCCTTATATGTCTTCATAAACTTATGAATAGAATAATCTGGTGTGTAGTTATTCATTAGCAATATTTCCTTTGCCTGTTCAATTCATTATTTAAATCTTTAGGATTACTAGTTAGTCTTCTGACCCGATTATATAGAAATTTAACAAAACCTACAATTACATATTTTGGATGGGATGAATCAAAGTCGGAAAATGCTAATATGTAACTCAGTCTAGTGGTTGCTCTATATCGTGTTTTGGCAGAATTTAGAATTCATGGGTTGGCCAGTGGATCGGGTCCCAGTGGCTTAATGGTATACGAGCTCGCCTTGTAACCAGAAGGTCCTGGGCTCGAACCCCGGTGAGTGCATACTGTGAAGAGTCCCAAACTAGGACGAAACAGTTATCCAGTACTCCAAGGTTTTCCAATGGTTTTCTAACCAATGTCATCTCATGATGAAATCCTGTAACCAATCAACCAAATTCCTACAAACCAATACTTGAATAACAGTCTAGCATAGCTAACTCACCATGTCTATTTCCCAACTCAGAAGTGAATTGGTTTCCATCTAACAGTGATTTTGTATTTGTGAAGAACTTAGGATTATGTTCAAATTTTAACACAGTGGATGTGTCATCCACATATCTCCATTATAACCTAGGAGCAGGACTGAACGTTCTAAGAGCTTTATGTTCACAACTATTCATAAATATTTCCGCTACTATAGTGGATTTAGGTGGTCTTGTTGCCACTGCATTTGTTTGTTGGTACATTTTATTTCGGAATTGCAATACACTATAAGTTAGGCATAAATGAGCACCTAGTACTATTTCATTACATTACATTAAGGTTTAAAAGATACTTCAAAAGATGATTGCAAAGTAGGACAGTGTCTCAAAGTTGTTATCGAGTCTCATGGCCGCTTGTATATGACGAAGGTTGAGACAGATCTTTATGCAACATATCTTCTCTGGAAAACCCGAGAATGGCATCTGACAAGTACCTATAAAATACTGAAAAGTAAAGGAAAGCATTAATACCAACGCATTCAGTGTACACTTCACTACTCAGGATCTCATGGGCATGATAAACGATGAAATAACGACCACTGTGAGCAGTTTACGTCGCAACTTAAGTGTGAAATTTCTATCTTTATAAAGTTCACAAATAATTCTTGTTAAAACAGACAAACATTTAGTTTCAACCAAAACAGTTAGCAGCAGACGAGTGGATAACAGTCACGAAGTAAAATAACTGATTTGGAGACTGCAGTACTCATGTTTCGTTATTCAAAGAAATCTAAACTTTTCTTATTGTTGCAGGTGATCAGCCGTCCTGCAAACTGATTCTAAATATCAAAATTATGAACTTTTGCATTTATTTATCAAATACAAAAGTATAAGATATGAGACTTACATTGAACTGTTTTTCTATATAATTTGCAAATATTTGAGATTTGGGCTGATCGTCTATGCTTCGAATTTTATTGTCTTCAAGATGACTTGCACTTTTTTTAGCAGTATATTTTTGGGAAGTATCACGTTGAAAGAGTAGCATTTCAGATGGATCCTTTTTCAATGCATTTGCACACACATCACCATCATCATTATCATCGCCGTCGTTATTTTCATCATTTAGAGGTTCTTCAAAAACACTTTCACATTCAGATGATTGTTCTCTTTGAACTGCTCTATTTAACTGTGTATGTGATCGTGTTAAATATGGCACCATTTTATAGGAGAATTCGGGGGAATTAGGCAAACTGGTTGAAGCAACTGTAAACGTAATACATTTAAATAATTCAAATTGAATAAGATAAAAAGATATCACAGCATCTTTATCAGTTGGATGGTGACCAGCATAGAAATCCGGGATGCATGTCTCGTCCTTTCTGATACTTCTCACTTTCATATATCTGCAATCGACAGTGAGTGGTCATGTTCCCAGACAGAGTCGACAACAAACAACCCATCGCTTCAAAAGCCAAAGCGCTGTCCACAAGGCAACATAGGTTTGAGTTGCCATAGGTTCACCATCATTCACTTGGTATTGCCGGTACATCCTGGTGAGGAGTCACAAATAGGACGAAATGCATGTCTTGGATTCCACTTCTGGTCACGATCAACCAAATAACAGCACGTTAATTTTCAAGTATTGGTTTTTGTAGGGATTTTTTGATATTTTTTTATTCCTATACGTTCTCAGGGGAACATAAGGCTTCAAGCTAGAGGCTTGAAGTTTCTGTAGCAGAGTTTATTTTTACGGAATGGGGTTGCGGGCCTCATGCCCAACCTTCCTTCTTTACCAGTCTTATTACTGGTTTAGCGAGGTAAACGGGTATGTTGCTGGCCGGGGATCGAACGCCGGACCATGTGCATAGTCGGCGAGCGTCCTAACTGCTGTGCCGCCGACGCACTTTTGTTTGACTGGATGGAGGGCAGTAATGGGCAGCTGTTTCGTCCCACTAGTTTGGGGCTCTTCATCAGTCCCAAACTAGGATGAAACAACTGTCCAGTACTCCTAGGTTCTCCAATGGTTCTCTGACTGATGTCATCTAATGATGAAATCCCTCATCCAAGCACATTAATTAGTATAACTCGTCGAAGTGGCCATCCTAGGAGCCAACATGCCAAAAGAAGCTGAACACTTCGGTTCTGTATAATCAACCAAGGGGTAGTACAAAAATTAAACCAATTTGCTGCGTTGTCTATAGCACAAGTAATAGTCAGAAAACACAAAGTCATTTATTTTGTAAAATAAAGTGTACAACCCTACAACCAAAATCTAGGAAGTAACAAGTGATTTGAAATTATTTTGATGAAAATCTGTGTAAGCTGTCAGACCTTACAAGAAATTATTTCAACAATTACTAGGCTGACAATTAAACCAAACATACTACATCTATCACATTATGAATTAGTGTATTATCAAGGAAGTGATACCATTAGCTAAATCAATAGCAGATATCACGTTGAATTCCGCCTACCTGAAACTCGGATATGATATAAACCTTTCGATGTCTAACTAAATTATCCTCTTAATATTTTATATTTGAACAAAGACAGAAGAAACATTGCCGCAGAATAATCTGGATCCATCTTACTTAGTCGGTTCTCATCAGCTACGTACAACCTGAAATCTTTAATAAAATAAAAAGCGTACGATTTTAACAAACTTTTGTGCATTAGCAAGCATATTGTCAGAGCGTCATAGTGAAATAAGGCGTTGTGATTTACAAGGTGTCTAAAGTGTTACGACATATATATATCTTGTTAGAGAGACGTTTCTTGAAAAATAATTCATTAACAGTTGTGTTGATGGGGTGGTATCAAAGAAAATTAGTAATAGTTACGTAATTAGATAAGAGAAGATCAAAATTTTGGTGCACATGAGGTCAGATGAGAAGTTGATGATGAATACAGTGGGCAGAATTCAGAAGATCAAGAAAAAATTATTACTTCAGAGAGTCAAGCGAAAAATAAAGTGGGGGGGGGAGAAGTGAAAACATAAGTTAACAAAATTAACAAAATTAGAAAACAAAGAGTTACTAAAAAGTGAGTCACCAGGGTAGTTGAATTCCAACAACCGATTCTTTTTGGACACATAAGTCAGGCTTCAATGGTTTTATTGCTATAGCTTCAGCGAACCTGAGAAAACTTGAGGTACTTTGTCTGTTAATTATTTTGAATGATTCTAGCACATCTACTCAGTGTCCTGTGTCAATCAGGTGTTTGGCAATTGAAGAGCTTAAACAATTCAGTCCCTTTAACCGGAGGCTCCTTGGTACATGTTCGCAGAATCTGACATAGGCTCTCCTCTCTGTTCTTCCAATGTATCTGCTCCTGCACCGAAATTTTGATCTTCTCTTATCTAATTACGTAACTATTACTAATTTTCTTTTGTTACCACCCCAACAACACAACTGTAATTAATTATTTTTCAAGAAACGTCTCTCTAACAAGATATATATATGTCGTAACACTTTAGACACCCTGTAAATCACAACGCCTTATTTCACTATCACATTCTGACAATATGCTTGTTAATGGACAAAAGTTTATTAAAATTGTGCATTTTTATTTAATTAAACAATTTAAGTTGTACGTAGCTGATGAGAACCGACTAAGTAAGATGGATCCAGATTATTCTGCGCCAATGTTTCTTCTTTCTTTCTTCAAATTTATAAAAGGGAATCATCGTATGTAATATTTGATGGTTGATTCACCATTCCATGTAATGCTGAGTAATACGTTACATCCATATTGATCAATTCTGTTGGTGAGCACTAATCAGCCATTTACTAATATACATCAGGATACCGTAGGTCATACTAACCATCAGCTCTAAACAAGAGACCTATGAAGATAAATGAATTAAATGTATATAAGAAGAGTGTCACAGTGATCCAGAGATTTTTTTCTCATTCTTTTGAGTTTCAAGTGAAACATAATGCTTCAAACCTTAAGCTCTGAAGTGTCAATAGCGCTGTTATTGTTGTTTTTACCACGTGAGGTTCCTAGCCACCTGCCCTGCCTTCCCTCTTTTCCGGGCTTATTACCGACTACGCTAGATCCGGAAATGCATCGGCTGAGAATCGAACCTAACTTACCAGCGTCAGTGACTGGCATTCTACCCCTGAACCAGTGAGGCTAACGCAGCGATATCAGCCATCTAATCAGCAGCAAACCGTTCGTAAAATGTTATTCAGCTTTGAATCTAATTACAACCACAGTAATTTTAAAAACGCCTCATTAGTCTGACTGGAAACGAACATATAAGTCTTTTATCTAAATTTTGGTGCCTGTTTATTTCAAACAAGATTATCTGATAATCAAGATAGAAGATTCACCATACCGGTACACTCAAAATGAATGTTAAGCGATATCAAAGACAAAGGAGTATGACACTGGCAACAGTCCCAGGGAACAGTGAAGGTGTTCGATTCAACACTCTAAAGCGAGTCAGCCGCAGTCCGCATCACTCAGATCAGAATCAAATCTTAATCGACAACCATTTGCGATTTTATGTGGAAAGCAACGAGCCACACTTATTTTGTGTGATGTCTGGTTATACTAACCGGGGATGCTGCAACTTTGGTGTGTGAAACGGGGTTCTAACCCAGAAGTAGAGTGACTAGACCAATGCTCTACAATCTAGTGACAGCGTCATATTCTGCGGGCTGAAATAACTTCAAGAAAGTCAGTTCTTACAGGGTTATAGATGCGCCTTAAATACGAATGTCTGTCAATCAGCTTCTTGGCAGCTGTTTTCAACGCAATCTATTCAGCTTTATACGTTACTCTACTGTTCTTTTTTCAGTTAACAAGATAAAAAATGAATGTATATTTAATAATAATAATTAATTCTAATAAAGAGCAAAGATTTTTGTTGTTAGGTGTTTGAATTCAATCAGAAAGAAACCCTAGATGTAAGTTTTGGTACTTGTTGGCACTCGTCATCATGACACATCTTCAGTCTTGAAGGAACTCATAACCCATCTAAGATTCGAACCCGCGTCACCCAATGCTGCAGTCATTCAGAGACATCACCGCGAAGCTATGCAGACTCGTGATTGACCTCCTGGAGGATTCTATTAGACACCTTTTGGTTGGATACCACGTGGTGTACCTTGAACCTTTGAATTTTTGTTTTAACGCATTCACCCACTTTTGGCGCCAAGCCATCTCGTGTTTTCCGACGTGACTGTACACATGTGGTTCGCTTTCTTGTTGTGCTACCATTCAGCGCACTCTTCGAGCTTACTACCCAGTCGAGGCATCAGATAAGTGGTGTAACATCCTTATTTATTAAAACTGATATTTCATTTGTGTGAAATACAACTCTCTTCAGGACAAACTTCCAGCCTCAGGTCTTTTTACTTTGATTTCGTTAGTCAGTACTTACACGCTAGGTAGACTACTGATAAGGTTATTAAGCGGTGAGGTATTTAGTAAGCTTGGTTATTTGAGGTCTGCCTTAAGTATAACCCAACACTTACAACCAGTTATAGTTGTGTGTATAACTTACTTGTGCACATTATTATCTGCGAACATTCATCAGCTACTCGACCGAGTAATGGATCATTATTCAATTTGATAAGTTTATGCATTAAACGTCGACTAGTCTCTTGGTGATACTAAAAATAAATAAATAAATTAGGGAACATTACATACACACCACTTCTACTTTAATTACCAATATATTTATATACTAGAGATAAAATATTGAGAAAAGGGACTCTTTTTGAAGAATTTATTCGCAAACTGTACAGTCGTATATATATAATTTGTTTTTATTCCGTGAGGAAATTTAAACCGTGTATAATTTCAAGATTTTAAGATCATCTGTCGAATTAATAGAAATGTTTTCATCTTCATACTTCCAAGCTTCCAAAGATATAGGAGGTATTGGTTATTTCTGAATCTAAGCTACAGCTTCTACACCTATTTCCACCTTCGCTATAAAATATAAAGGAGGCGTTAAACACTTATTTACTTCTCGTTTTGCTTATTTCATCTGTGTACCTTTCCCCTATTATTACGATTGTTATTATCTTTGCTTCCATCTTGAATAACGTCCGGTGTTGTTTCAGTTATCCCACTTATTATTTTAAGTCAATATGTTTATCTGTGGTGTTAAATCCTGTCTTATCAAACTTCTGAAGATGTTAACTAATGTTCTGCTTGCCTACTAATCCTACTAATTTCACTTCCCTTTCACAATACCAATACATTCTATATAAGATTTTGAGCGAACAATTGTTTTCGATAACTTCTTCTTCAGGCTCTACAGTTATAAATAAATCCATGGATAATAGAGTACATATAGCCAATAAAGGCAAATGAAAATAATATCAGAAACCGTATTGGAATGCATGTTGAGATGATAGTCCATTAGTTAACATAATCAATCAAATTTGTATACGGTGTACAGTCAGAAAAATGTGAAGTGTGCATGAACAATTGGGTGTTATAGTGCTGTACCCAAAGGAATTTATCTTTACTCACTCGTGAACATATTCCGGTCTGGCTTGGGAAAAGAGCAACCAAATCATTAAATAGTGCAATTCTGTCTCATTTAGTGCATAGCGAACACAGCATCAAAGTAGAAGAGTCATTTACAGTTGTGTATCGAGTACCGAACAATCTCCCCAAAGGCACACGAATACGCCTCCTAGCCATAGCTGAGGCTTTAGAGATTAATAGAGAAAGACCAGACTTATGTGTACAGAAAAAACTTATTCACTCTCTCTGTCTACCCTGGCCCACTATAAGGTCACCAGGATCATAATTTTCCGTATTATTATTACCATTATTATCATTCTGTGATATCATGTCTTTATTATCCATTTCCCCACCCAGTTTATTTCACCTCATTGTTACCCTTAATTTTGTCAACCTTTGTGATTTTACACTAAGCCTACCAACTCTGTAACATCTTATTACAATTTACTATTTAGCCTCTTTATTTTATCATTAGACATTATCGGTCAGCCCTCACATTCAGTGTCCCCTTTGTTAATGTGTGTTTGTATGTATGTATTTTGTGGTTATCGCTTTTTGTCTCACCCCAATGACACTTGTATTCTGTTGACTATTAAACAGCACTATATCACCCAATTGTTCATGCACACTTCACATTTTTCTGACTGTACACCGTATACAAATTTGATTGATTATGTTAACTAATGGACTATCATCTCAACATGCATTCCAATACGGTTTCTGATATTATTTTCATTTGCCTTTATTGGCTATATGTACTCTATTATCCATGGATTTATTTATAACTGTAGAGCCTGAAGAAGAAGTTATCGAAAACAATTGTTCGCTCAAAATCTTGTTTTGATTTCAATACGGAGATATTTCATTTACATTCTATATAGGACATTATTTGTTTTGCCATCTGACACTTGATATTTAACTATGATTATAATCATAAACATTTTAATTGCATCTCATGCTGCTACTATTATTATCTTTTGTTTTCACACCCTTGTTTCAATCTCCCACGGATACAATTTCTTAAAAGCACCATACAAATCCGATTGTACAGCTTGACAGTAAACTCGTAGAAAGGAGTTTCTCCTCTGAATCACCTGTTATGATTTTCGATATGTCCCAGTGGGAATCTTCCAAAAATTATTTGTTCCATCGTTTCATAATGAAATATGACTGTAATCACAGACAATTCTTGTTTCAATTCACAGTAATCACATCTTTGGTTTAAATTTCCACGGGACTGTATAGCCTGGTAATACATTTTTAATTGGTGGATGGTGACTAGCAGAAGAATCCAAGATACGCATTTCGTCCTATTTGCCTCGGTGAGAACATCATCACTCACTGCAGAATGCAGGTACATCCGACTGACGAGTCCCGAATAGGACGAAATGCGCATCCTCGATTCCACTGCTAGTCACCATCCACCAATTAAATACTAATTAAATGCCCAGATATCGTCGAAGCATCTGCTCAAGAAGCCCACTTGTCAACCTGAGACCGAGCACTTCAGTCCAATCAGTCGACGGAAAATCCAAAATTCAATTATATGGTAATACATTTGTTGCAATGAACATGGCATACTTCTTGTGTGAAAGCTTTATTTAATTATCATTTCTTTTATTCCTTTAAGTTCCAATTGGAACATTTGTCTTCAAGCTAGAGCTCTGAAGTTTCAGTAGCAGTGGTGTTTATTTTCACCAGGTGGGGTTGCTGGCCTTACGCCTAACCTTCCCTCTTTACCTGACATACTATTGGCTAAGTGAGGTATAGGAGTGTGCCAGCCAGGGATCAAAACCCGGGGCACTTCCGTGTTTGGTCAGTGTTCTACTAGTGAACCGCCCACGCACATGTATGAAAGCTGGTGATACTTAAATGTTATGTATGCTGAAGTCGAGTGTTTTTAAGCCAATACATTATAACTTCATACATCAGTCAGTATTGGTAATTTGAAGAGAGAAAGAACGAACATGTTTGCAGGATAATACGAGCTTGTTTTATTTCGTGGATTCTCATAAACTACATACATCCTAAACAAAATCAAATTATAGGTTTCAAGAAAGTTGTGGGACATACTTTTTCATAATTACTTTGAGTTATAGATAGAAGGCATAAGGAACATAATTCCAGAATTTGATGTAGGTAGACAGATTATTCGATGTCAATAAACAACTAATTATATATAGTGGAATTGGATATGTACCTGCGGAAGCAAGTACATAGGAAGGGCTGAGAGGACAGCATCTACTAGGTTTTCTGAGCATGTTCCTAAGAGTCTCCGTACAAAAGGAAGAAAAGTGTTATCGAGTGCAATCGCCAGACATTTAATTGACACAGGACACACAGCAGAAATTAGCTAAGCCTTCAAAATAATCAATACACAAAGAAACCCATGGCTACTTCGCTTCGCAGAAGCCATTGCTATCAAGAGATTTCGACCAGACCTTTGTATACAGAAAGATAGTGTGATTAATCTTGCACTACCTTGGTAACCCTAACTCTTTTTTATTTTATATTTGTTTTGCCTTTCTGTCAGTATGCCTGTGTGTTTGTCTTGTTACGTAACATTCTATTCAATTTTGACCTTCAAGTTTCTAAATCTACTTAATTGTTTGTCTGTTTAAGTTAAAAATGTTACTTCACTATTCACCCCCACCCTCTTAAACTCTCCACCACAAGATGTGTAAATTCACTCTGTTCTCTGACCCTGATCCTGTAATATGCCTCTAACGAATCTGTATTGTTTTCCAATTGAAATCTGAACTCTTATTCCTCTTATCCAATTCCACTATATATAATTAGTTGTTTTTTGACACCGAATAACATGTCTACCTACATCAAATTCTGGAATTATGTTCCTTATGCCTTCTATCTATAACTCAAAGTAATTATGAAAAAGTATGTCCCACAACTTTCTTGAAACCTATAATTTGATTTTGTTTAGGATGTATGTAGTTTATGAGAATCCACGAAATAAAACAAGCTCGTATTATCCTGCAAACATGTTCGTTCTTTCTCTCTTCAAACTAATAAAGGGAACCGGTAGTATTGGTAATTATTTAAAGTTGAAAATTGTTTAGCAATTTGCAGTTTATACAGTTCGAGCGGTGAAATTTCACCGGAGTTTTCTTTGCATTCTTGATTACCATTTATGTTATCGAGGAGATCACATGTATGTGATCAGCGTAACTTGGTTTCCAAAGGAAACCACAGTGAAATCTAATCACTCGAACTGTATAAACTGCAAATTGTTAACCAGTTTGGAAATTATGAATTAGAATTATGACATGAGCAGTTCGACCAAGCAGCTAGACAGAAATTGGGTAGTTCTATCTGATTCGATTCTCTGAGCTGAGTCAAACCAGGAAAAGCACTGGTGAGATTTGCCCGAAACAAGCGAAACGGCGGTCCGGTGTTTACAACACTCCAATCTTGCTGGCTGTCTAGCAAGCACTATTGGTTGATATGAGTGGTATGCAACTACTCATTTCAGTCAATCAGTAGTATATATTTTTGTGCATGTTTAAAGCTGTATTTTATTCTTCAGGTTATATCTAATTCAGAGTCATCTCTTCGATCAATATACATAATGATTAACTTGTTTCTATATTCACACCTTAATCATCCAGTTCTGAAAACACAATTATAGCAATATCATCTACTTGGGCTAAAAATCTGATGCTCACTAGCGACTGGCCCTATTCAGGCAGTTACCTGGGGTTCTAGTGGGAAGTCGTGACCAGTAGGGTACAAGGAGGTCGAGGGTGAGGACAACTACTCATCGAAGAAGACATTGCGAAGTGGTCGCACTATGTGGTGAGTCGGCAGAAGTTGGAATTCATGAACTGGCCATTGGATTGGGTCCCAGTGGTTTAATGGTCTACGAGCTCGCTTTGTAAACAGAAGGTCCTGGGTTCGAACCCCGGTGGGTGCGTTCCATGAAGAGTCCCAAACGAGGACGAAACAGCTGTCCAGTACTCCCAGCTGGTTTTCCAATGGTTCTCTAAGTGATGTCCACTCATGATGAAATCCTCCAACCAATCAAAAAAATCTCTACAAAACCAATACTTAAAATTCTTCCTCATCATATCTCAAACATGATTCTCACACTGTACACATATTTTCAGCTTGAAGTAGACCGCATGTATACAAAACATTTCTAAAGTATGTGATAGAAACAGCAGAAGTATGCTAGAAATAAGCATTTGTAAAACTCTTCTTTACCCCAATGAAAGGATAACTAGATTTCATCATGAGCCGAAACACTGAGAAAGCTGGGAGTATTGGACAGATGTTTCGTCCTAGTTTTAAGACTCTTCACTGGTGCGCATCCACCACCCGGGTTCAAACCCAGGACTTTTCGATTACAAGGCGATCAGCTATGGTTTTCCAATGGTTCTCTAACTGATATCAATCCGCGATGAAACTTGAAATTTTATATTATTCGACTAACCTGCGGTTGATGATCTGCCAGCAGTTGAATCTGTAGAAAGATTTTACTGATCGATTCAATGAGTGAATCTCTCAAGAATATTTTATATTCATTATTTGGTGTTTTATTGTAAATAAGAAGCTAAAAGTTAAAATGATAATGTGCTTTAGAAAAAAATGCAACATAAACAGCATAACAATAACAACAATAATAATAGAAGAAGACAATCAACAGAACTGCCTATACGAAATAAAATGTGTGAATTGTGATACTGTACATAGCGGAGTGAAACAAAACATGGACAATTTTCAAGTGTTAATTTGGCGTGATCACGGATTTACATCGGTTGGAGAACAACGGAAAACCAAAGTGTATTCAATAGATTTTTCGTTCTGGTTTGTGACTCGTTAGCAGTACGTATCCATATTCTCAACGGAAGTCGAACCCAGGACTTTCAGTTAAGGGGGCGATCTCATCGACCATTTGGCCAACAATAAATACTCGCTGGCTTTCTCTTAGGAAAACTGAATTGACTGGAATAAGAATTTATTGACCATTGGATCCTGTCCTAGTAGCTAAACGGTCAATGAGCTCGACTCATAACCTGGAGCCCATAGGTTCGATCGCTGTGAAGTAATAGGTGCCTACTGCCAAGGAATGTGAATAGTGACGTTTACAGTACTCTTTGATTTTCAACAGTTGTCTAACTAATACTATTGTGTGATCAAGAGTGAAACATAAGGAGATCCCTAAGGTAGTTCCGAGAACTTCAGTAGAATTGAAGAAACTAGAAAACAAATCAGCCATCGCACCACACAAGAAATATATACATGCGATTAAATCCTAGAAATTTTAACAGACCTGATGGTTTGATGTTGGCTTATGTGTAACAAGTAAACAAAATAGATTGGTATTACTAATTTTCACGCCTAATTTACCTTCCTGATTATCTTACAAAGGAACTTATAACAGTAATTTCGGTTAATTAACCAGAGCTTTGGAAACATATCGACCTAGAACCTTTCTCCTGACAAATGTGAAAATGAATCAGGCAGACGCTGAAGATACCTTTGAGTGACATCCCACACCCAGGCAAGCCATCGGGTGGAACCCGTATATGAAACGACGAGTCAGGTATGGATCAAACAGTGACATCGAAAAATTGGGTGAAGAGGAGATGAGAGAATACGGGGAATCGTGGAGTCATCCTAAAAGGAATACAGAGAACACAGGGAAAAGGAAATGTGTTGTTTAAGCCCTATGTTCCACTCAAAATCCAACTGAATAATAATAGTAATAATTGTATGAGTTCACCAGTTTCCTTAATAGTCGCTGATATTTTCAAGAACAGACTCGAAGATAACATCTTTTGAAGCATACTCACTCCTAAAATTTGGTTCAGATATATAGATGATACTTTTGTAGTGCTAAAACGAGGTCTACACAGTTCATTCTTGGAGAAAATAAACAACCTATCTCCCCGAATCCAGTTAACCTCAGAAGCAGAATCAGACGTCGGTGAACTACCATTTCTAGACCGCCTATTTAAGAGGAGGGAAAACGGACATTTTGGTGAACCTGTATTCAGGAAGGAAACCCACTCCAATAAATATTTAGACTTCGGATCATCACACTCCATCAGCGCAAAGATTTCAGTTGTTTCAAGTCTTCTTAGACGAGCATACTCTTTGATGTTAACGGATGAGAAAGAAAAAGAAGAAGAAATATCAAACATTACTGAGACTCTCAAGCAAAATAACTACCCATTAGATATGATCGAAAGCATATTCCGAAAACATGGACCTCAACAGTTGTTATTCAATATAGAGCAGAGATGTCAGACGATATCAGAAGAGTACTCAATAAGCTCGACATTAGAGTTTTCTTCAAGACATCAGACACACTGCGAAACAACCTTGTCCATATAAAAGACCGAATCCCTAAGGATTCTGTATCTAATTGTTTCTATAAAATAAAATGCTTGGAGTGTGATGCGATATACATCGGACAAACATCGCTATAGAGAAATCAAAATCAGGACCACCGAGAAATCCGGTTGAACTAGAAAAGCTTGAAAAGTCACCAGCTAGCCAAAGGTCTACACGCTATGGAATCAGGCCACAAAATTGATTTTGACAATACTGAAATAATCCAGAAAAAGACTATCTAGAAATCACAAAGAACGTCTGACACCATCAGAAGCACTTCATATAAAATGGAGTCCAAATTACCTGAAAAGGATCGTTGGACTAAAAACAGAATTTGACCTGGTTACAACACCCCTCTTCCCTATGAAGTGACAAAATCAACACGAATGTGACAGATAAGTAATTTCATTAAGTAAACACACTTGTCAAATCCAACAATCTACGCATGACGGTTTTATTTTTACTAATTGGCCAATTTGAAAACGTAAAAATGACCGCATGCTGATGAACGATGATTAAGTTGTTATATATGTGCTGAGATTTTGTAAATTCTGGCTTAATTATACTTTGATAAAGCTATTAGCAGCAGCATTAAATAGCGAAACGTCAGTATAAACAATATTCGTTTTGTTTTCCATTCACTGGGAAATACAAAAACCCTTATTATAATCAGTATTATATACTTAATGCCCAAATTTTTTCAAACTGCTAAAAGTGAACTTGGTTTGGACATATATGATAATAATAATAGTATTAAAAATTAGAAATTACAGAAACAATATTATAACTTACTTCATCTAATTCTGCACAAATACTTTGCCATAAAACGCACAGTGATTCACTATACTGATAGGCAAAATACTTACGAAATTCTCTACTGGCACAAATCACTGTTAAACTTTCCATGTACACATGTCTCAATGGATAGAAATTGACATAACACTTCACTATAGGATGAATAATTATCTCAATTAATTCAGTTAGCTTAAACCATTTTTGATATTTTTTCAGCAGTGTATCACATTCTTTAGTGATAAGCCTATTCAATAGGCTTAGGAATTCTACATTGAATTCTAAATCTTGCTTGAATGTATTATCGGATAATTTGAGTGTGCTGAAAGTTGTTGGCCTTGAAATGGTAGTCATCGTTGTTGATAGAAAAGAATCCAAGATGGTTCGTACACGTGAAGAACTATTCATAAGGAATAATGTATCATCGAACATTGAAGAAAGCTGAACAACAAAAGATAATAAATAAAAAAAAAGAGAGAGTGGCTTTATTGCATATCCCCGCTAATTGTAGCATCATAGTCTGTTGCTGTGGTGGTTTAGTGACAAAATGAAAACAAAATAACGGGTTATACAATGATAAAACTCTCAGTTATGCTATACCATACAATTTCTGCATACTTCATTATTTCGATGAGAGATGCGTTGTGTCAGCTGGTTGGTTTAATTTCTAAGCTTTTATTTTTTCGAGTTTGACCAGGGACCCATATCAGTTAGAGAACCACTGAAAACCAGGGGGTACTGGACAGCTGCTTCGTCCCAATAGCTTTGGACCCCCCCGCGGTTCGAACCCAGGACCTTCCGGTTACAAGGCAAGCTCGTGTACCACTCAGCCACTGGGAACCGATTCAGTGGCCAGCCCATGAATTCTTACTTCTACCAATTCTTGATTTAGCGCGACCAGCGATCCCTGTTATTGGTGGCTGATATCAGCAAGAGAGTCACTGAATCGAATTCGTGGGCTCGCCAATTAATTGGGTTCCAGTGGCTGAATGGTACACGAACTTGCCTTGTAACCAGAAGGTCCTGGGTTTGAACCCTGGTGGTGGGGGCGTACTGCTTATGAGCCCGAAGCTATTGTGACGAGACAGTTGTCCACTACTTCAGTGCTGGTTTTCAATGGTTCTCTAAATGATACCAATTTCTGATCACACTCGAAGAAACAAATCTAATCCTAACAAACCAACTTTTGAAAAAAAGCTTTTCCTGACAATAGATACAATTATATCATTCTTGTAGAATGAAAATAAGTTCACTTCATACTTGGATTCGACAATAGCTGGTAACTAGTGAAGTATAGATAGTCCTTTGTCTGGTACAGACTGAATTCTGTCAGTCAAGTTTACAATGTGGTTATCATACTAGGTGACTCACCATCGTGATGCACTACAGTGAATTGCTGATATGAGATATCTGGAGGCAATAGGAAGGATGTCCAGCGTGACATAGGTTTCGTGCTACTTGGCACTCATCAGTCAGCAAGACGTGTCCGCAACCGTGAAGGAACACACGCCCCTTCTAGAATGTGAACCTGTGTCACCCAGTGCTGCAGTAAGATCCGTTACCACTTAGCTATTTGAGCTCACGACTGATCTCCTGAAGGATTGTATTGAACACTCTGATTGGGCACTAGCTGGTGACTAGTGTAATGTGTCTAGTCCCTTCACTTTATATTGAATATGCGCTGAAGATGTCGTCTAAAAGGACAATGAAGGCTTTGCAATTAAAACACCCACGGCTGAGAGAATACCGTCACACCAAAATCATCCTACTGATCTACAGATCTTCTAAATTATTTCAGTATTTCATTATTCTTCTATTGTTTCTCTAAAGTGATTGTCTACGAAATAATTAATAAAATAATGATGTTTGCGGTGATCAAAAACAATAAAATAAATCCTAACTTTAAACTTAATGTTTCGGAAATTTCTAGGCTATAGTCAGTTATCTAAACGCAAGGAATTCACACAAAGCACAATATTACAGGTGGTTTTATTTACATCTGAGAATGTCAGAAATTTTAATTCACGTTAAGCAGCATGGATAAAGCGAGTTGTGGGTCTCTGACCTACTCATGTGTTTTTAGCACAAGTTGCGTTAAATTTAACTACATAGTACGACATCAGATGGCTTCAACTGATTCGGCTCTCTGAGTTGAGTTAATCCGCGCATACCACTGATGGACTCGGTCTCAAATAAGCGAAACGGCCATCCGGTGTTTTGATCATTCTGATAATCTCGCTAGCGAGAACTGTGGGTTGATATGAGTGGTATACATATAGTTTTCTCGGTCAGTCAGTAGCACTAAGTGTCATGCAATTACGGTTGCCTTTCTTGATTTATCAGTTAGGTCACACATCATGAACTGAATAATTTTTGTTTCCATAGGCAGCTCTAGTAAAATTTCACCCTCCCCCTCCGCTCAACAGTGTAAACTGCAAACTGTGGATTCGATCTAACCATGTGGTAACTATTCCTCACTTTATCAGAAGCTAACTCGACAAAAATAATCAGCTAAAAAATTATTTAGTTACTGTTCTACTAAAGGTAAACGTGGGAAGCTGTTAAAGACAGTTTGTTTATTAGTGCTATGTTCTATTCGTTCTTTTGTTAGTCACATTAGATCAGGGGTTTTTCGCTACATCTTATCTTTGAAAACCTTACTCCCTGATGGATATCTAAAATTGTCTCTATTTTTCCAAAATATAACCGTCTTTTTTTACTCTATTCTCGAACATAAATCGTAATGGTGTAACACAAATCAGCTGTTCACTGTCAAAGTTCCACATTTGCTGGATATCTCATCGATCAGCTAATCCTGAACTACAGTCTATCCTTCATATTTCTACTTATTTGCACAATATTAGTAGTACATTCTGTTGTCTTTGATGGGAATATTTAAAGCAACGTTTAGGAATATTAGTATAAAACTTGCGCACTGCGGTAGAGTATAACTCCATAATAGATAAGATTTTATTTTGAAAAATCACACAGTGTGTTATAGAGTAATAATAACTGATGACCACACTTCAAGCACAAATTATTACCACTGATAATCATCATATCATAGCACTACTCACACAACTTTTTGCTTCATTTACATATATGAGTAAAAATTCATGATTAGACATTTGAATAAAATCAATATAAGACAAGTGCATTCGGAAATAATAATATCAGTGTTATCAATGAAATACAATCAGATGCGAAATAAGATGTTTTTAGAGTAAAAATAAGTAAATAACTTGTTAGAATTTTATAATGTACGTGAAGTGAAATAAAATGTTAAGATTATTTATTATCCTCCTCTGATTTGACTGGTAATAATATCTTCCATTTTTCGGGTATTTGCGTTGAGTCATTTCTGTTGCATTAGTTGAGTGAAGACTCGATGAAGCAGGCAGGATTCAGTAATCAATCTCTCTCTCCACGTACCTATAATACTTCTTAGAATTTTCACCCTCTCCCACTCTATTGTGTGGTTGTGTGTTCATTCATGCAGTATAGTGCTGAGCTCCTTTCTAAATTACTTATCTTCGCAGGTGGGATCAATCATTCTAACCTCAGCTACATTTTTATGTTTTGACAGGTAATCTCACTACTCATGATCTACTAGTTTGACCTATATAGTTGACCTCACAGTTGACCTACAGGGTCCTTTAACCTACAGAGCTTGTCCTACCTGAGTGAGTTCGCATGTCTGAATGCCACCCTAAATCCTGCATTTTTGAGAATCCTATATAGGGATCATAAATGTCCCCTCCTGCCTTATGTTATCATTATTAGTTTCACCATTATTTTTATTTCGCTTTTGACTTTTTTTTATATTCTTAATAAATTTTAATAATAGCTGGTAAACAAATGTCGGTCAATCAGATAAGCGCGAATACTGTTATCAGTTAATTTTTAATCCTATTCAACAACAACAGAGTTTTATTCAATTCCTTTTCTTTCCAAGTGGGACATACGATTTCAGTCTTGAGTGTGGAATTTTCACTCGTGGAGGTATCTTTACATGAGGGCGAACATTGATAGTCTTATGACCAACCTTCCCTTTTTAGCAGGCTTGCTTACCACTGCCTAAACCAGATTAAGGAGTTCGTTGGTCGGGAAATAGAACTCCCCACTCCCATGTGTGGTAGCTGAGTGTTCTACCAATGAACCTTTGAAGTGCCTCAATAATAGATTTTCCTAAAAATAATTACCTTATAAACACAGTGGAATCAGACTGTATTCGTCATAGCTATCATCATCACCATTATGACAGTCATTTTTCTTATCACAAATTTACGTAAGAATCCTCCTTCAAACATCATCCCATGACTTTGTGAAATCTTATCATATTCATATTAATCAACTATTTTTGAGAATATTAATAAATGGTTATTATTATTACTATTTTTCTTCTTGTCTGTCGAGTATTTTCTCTCTATCTCTCTCTTTTCTTATCTTTTAAAAATGTTTATGTCTGAATTTTTTCCTTTTTTTTTGTTAAGATTCGCCAATTTTCTTCTTCCCCTTAATATTTTATTTTATTTCTTTTCCACTGTAGACGAAAATACTCAAAGTTCAGACTTTCGCATTAATTATTTCATGTGCTTTTTTTCTTTCTTTTAACCCTAATGATACTTTTATAATGAGGGTGAAATGTTCACATATCAAATAAACTATCACTACGCTAGTTCTATTAATAAGTAGCTTTATTAACGGATAAGTTGAACATCTTTTGTTTTTGATTCTTCAAATATATTAGGTCAGACACCTTCCTTCCTTCCTCCTGGGGTTTGAATCTCAGTGGGAACATTGTCAACCCCACGAGGATACAGGTACATTCAGATGACGAGTCCAAAATGGGGAAAAAGGACACGTCCTTGACTTCACTGTCAGCTGATATCAATCCGAATATCAACTTCCATTCTTTACCGTTTCAAAAGGCATATTAGAAAAGGCCTAGGAATGTAGACGAGATTATTTGATGCATATCTCTTCTAACAAAATCTGTCAAAAGCGAAGATTTTAATATATTTGTTTAACTTATCCGTAAGAGTTGCTTGGTAGCAACAGATAAGATCCTGAACTATTAAAATACATTAGATCTAACTAGAATTCTAGTAATGATTGCTAATTATCCTGCCAGATATCTTCATCCCTCGAGGTTAATAATTTGTTTCATGTGTTTGAAATTTGCTTTCGATCCATTGAGCTCCGAATAGAATATAGGAATTAGAATCTTCTAGGTTTCAATAGCGGTGGGATTTCTAACCACATGTCTAACCTTCCTTCTTTTCTGGGCTTACTATTGACCAGTAGAACAGACAAGGCTTAGGAATGAGCTAGCCAGAAGTCGAATCCTGAACACACGCTTGGTTAACCAGCATAATGTCACTGACTGACTGAGTTTCAACATAGACCTTTACACTGAAGTGCACCAGTTCAATTCGCCACACCCTACGTAGCACACAAGGGTAGACAAGAGGACAAGAAGAGAAACTGAAAAGAAACGTGAAGGCGAAAGAATAGTCCTGATATCGTGGAAAATACCCATCAGGGCATTTGAGAGAAAACAACAAGAAAGCATGATGACACATAAAAACATGAGAGTTTAGTCGATTTGAAAGGTCATACACAATCAAATTCACACATTAATCACCCACAGGATAATCATGCTATACAGTGAGGAATGGTGAAATAATTCAAAAGTAATTTAGTTAGATGGAGTGATAGAGAAGTTAATCATTGAGTCGTTATTTATCGATTCAACACTGCACACGTGCAATCAAAATGACGCAACATCTATACCGCAGATACGAAAAGTATCAACAAACAACCACGGGAAGAGAGAGACAAAAATATTTAGGGTGAATCATGAAACCATGTGGCCGAAGTGATATAATTATGCTCAAAACATCATCCAGTTAATAACACTGCATCACTGTGCGATATTTCAAGTAAACTGATCTAATATGGAATTATATTCTAACACAGTGCCCATGTTCTATACAAACACCAGAGACCACAGACAGTTAACACATCTGAGCCACTGAGAACGATTTTGAGTCATATCACTAATAGTTTCCAGCTATCAGTTCTTAACATCTCAACGTCCCCAACCAAGTAGTCCGCACTTTCCTGAGAAACTGCCTCAGACCACTGACGATCACATATGAAATAAATTTTGATTAAAAATCATGGTGAATGAATATAAGCAATAGACTTCGGAGCAATATATTTTAAATGCATTTTTCCATACATCCTGAATTGATTTGTCAGTTTTCCTTACACACATTTTATGAATCGATTAGGACTACTTAGCGTCATTATTTCGCATTTCAAAATATTTTGTAATTGCTACCAGCTCAGTACATTTGTGCCACAAATACTATTTACCTGGCCACTCTATAACTAACTAATTTGTTATTCTACGTAAAAATATATCCGCCGCATAAGTGAATATTAATGTAACGGTAAATATTATATTTTATAATTACAAGAACCTGAAGCGGAGAATCTACTGAAAAGAATATTCTTCACTTGGACACTAGTAACTAGTGTGATGTGTCTAGTCCTCTCTTTGATGCAGATTGAATTCTATCAGTCAGGTTTCCAACCATCTAATATCATCAAATCAATGTACATCGTGATGATGATGGCCACATTGCAAACCTGACTGACAGAATTCAGTCTGCACCAAAGAAAGGACTAGACACACCACACTAGTTACTAGTGTCCAATCAAAGTATCCACTACAGTCCTACAGGAGGTCAATCGCGAGCTCGAATAGCTCAGTGGTAACGTCTCTGACTGCAGTTCTCACTGGGTTCCTTCAAGGTTGCAGATACGTCTTGCTGACTGGGGATTGCCAAATAGAACGAAACCTAGGTCAGGTGGGGCTTCCTGCCGATAACCTCCAACCATCTAATATCATCAAAGAATATTCTTCATTTTAACTGAATTTTGATTCATGGTATGCGGATGTTTTACACTCTTAAATCTATTATTAAGCAGTTTGAAGGAAAAGATAAAATAATAAAGGTAACTAAACAGGTGATAAAGCCTACACTGGAATAACACTGTTAATTTTGTTCAAATAAGACACCAATTAAAAAGACGTAGAATAATACTGTCAACAGTTAATCCCAATTAATAAGCATGAAATAGTTTACCTCAGTGGACAACATTTCTTGTATTGGTCGTAATATCTCTGCGTTCGGTTTAAACACTGTTGATAATACTCGAAGCCAATGTAAGCGTGGACTGCTGCTTTGAAGGAGAATACATAGTTTTCGCATCATTGAACGATCTGTCATCATGCATAATTCAGTATTGCCGTCAAGGATTGCCATACAAATTTCTGCATCATCAATCTTTTTTGTTGTTGTGAAAACAAAGTGAGTGACAATCAGAAACAAAAATCACACAAACAAATAAAGTGCTGTTACTAAATAAACATAAAACATTTTATTCCTACTAGTGTACATCTAAACTTACAGTTCTATCGCTGAAATAGCGTCATTCTTCGCTGAATATGTAGTCTTTAGATGATTTATGTTTTACATGGCTTGTATTAACATGACTCTAGTATCTTGCAGTGCTTCTATTCTTTGAAATCCCAGCTTTGTAACAGTCACTCAACTTAATCTGCTAATTATGGTATTCACCTGTAAACTTCAAAATATACCGTGGCTTCAGTTGCTCGATGGAAACGCCTTTGGGTGAAGCCAGTTCGAAACTCACAGGAGGGATTCCGTTCCTTTACAATAAACCCTGCTAACTAGAGCCAATACGGTTGTGGACAGACACTTGAACTCACTCAAGAAACCGGGGAATATCACCATGTAGGACTTTGGGTATCGTCTTTATACACACCTCTTCTCATTGCCACTCATTAGGCAGAATTAGAGGCAGTTATATGAGACTTTATCCTAGGACGAATAAGTGTAAAAACTCCACGATACCATAACTGGCACGCATTTTATGTGATGAGAAAATTGTTACGCATGAGACTTCTAATTTACTGTGAAACAGTGAGTGAAGAGCCTTTTGTATTCTTTCTATCATTAACATATTGTTGTTGCTATTTGTACTTAATTTTAACTTTACATTCAAATTCTTTATTGGTAGTATCTTCACCTTTACTGTGTAATGTAAATGGAAAATAAGATACCATATCATTATTGTTATTGTCCCTTTGGGTTCCGAGTGGAAAACAGGGCTTCAATAGGACATTTCCACTTCGTCCCATCCTCTTTAGTTCTCTCTAGCAGGAGCCATAAATTCCTGCACTCCCACAAATCCCCCACGCAGTATCTCTTCCATGTCACCCTCGGACTCAAACCATACTCGTCGTTTCCCACTCGGGTTCAACACAAGGGTTGACCTGGTGCGCTATGTCATCCGACAGTCTCCTCAACGTGTGTCCAATCCATCTTCATTTTCTTCGACTTATTTGTTGAACACTAGGTTCTTGGTTGTTTTGTTACCAGAGTTTCTTGTTGCTAACTCTTTCGCGCCGTCTGATCTTTAATCCGCAGCCAGAGAAGGTGGCTGTCAATAAAAGTCTGAATTAGCCTGTTAGAAGTGCTTTTCGTGACGCATGCTCCAAGCTTCTGACCCATATATAAGAAGTGACTGATTTCACATTTGTATTGAAAATCTTAATTTCGTTCTCTATGCTGAATGCAGAATATTTTCAAACCGATTTCAGATTAATGAAGGTCTGTCTTGCTCCTCAGATAATTAACTTCACATCCTCATCCGTGCTGTTGCCTGCACTTGAAATAATGCTTCTTAGATAAGTAAAGGAATTAACCTATTTCAAGTATTTCCCGTTGATATTTGATTGGTGCTTGTGCTACATGCTGGAAATTTTGTATTGCATCAAGCATACTGTTTTCGAATAAAGTCATTATTATTATCATTATTAAAATCTGAATAGAATTACTTGCAATCCATCATGACTAGCATAACAAAAACTTAACGTATGCTCATGAAACTGCTTACTACACATATTCATAATGAGTATAGTTGACAGTACTAGAAGAAACGTTTACGTACTCATAGACACCGTGACATTTTCGTGATGCAGGGTAAAACAATAAATAAAGATATTTGAAGATATATAGGTAAACATCAAATTAATCATTTAAAGTGAACTAACTTCATTTGTCAGAAATTTATCCATATAAGGAAATAATAATTTCTGATTTGTCCCGTGTTTATGACAAAATAAGCACAGAATATATTTGGCTAAATGTACAATCGCATTGAGTATCATATCGTCACACTAAAATAAAAATAAGTAAATAAGTAAATATCGTAATATAACTCTATAAGTAAATGCATATTACAGCGTGTTTTTTTCACTACTTTGTGTTACAAGTGGAATATAGGGTTTAAAGCTTTGCAATTTCAATAGCGATGGTGTCACTTTTATAGGATGGAGTTGCTACTCTCACGCTTAACCTTTCTATCGTTACAGGCTTACTGTCGGCTAGTTGGCGGGGTTCAGGTGTACGTCACACGAGTGGTTGGCGAATATTAAGCCACTAAATCACTGATGCATATACATATTAGAGTACAGAATTATTTATCCTAGATGCTGAATATACTGTAGTGCGTTGGCGGTACAGCGGTAGATTGCTCGCCAACTGCTGAGGTAGTTTGCGGTTCGGTCCCCAGCCAACGCACTTCCTCACCTCGCTAAACTACCAATAAGACTGGTAAAGAGAGAAGGTTTGGCATGAGGCTAGCAATCCAATCCCATAAAAATAAATGCCACCACTTTCGAAATTTCTTAGCTCTAGCTTGAAGCCCTATGTTCCACTAGGAACGTAAGTGAAAAAAATTAAATATATAGAAAACATTGTAATAAAGATAACACTAAATAATGACACTAATGTCTGATGGATAAAAATGTTGAGCTGTAGTATCGAACTTAAATTCGAAAAGCTGGTTGTACAACTGAAGAACTCAATTCCCAAAAGAAGGGGGCCTCTTTTAATCATCCATCAAAATGCATTCTACTGACTCTGTTTCATATTATTTTATTCATCTAATTATTTTTTACGAGTTGATCACGGATTGATATCAGTTAGAGAACCACTGAAAACCAGCAGTGGAGTAATGAACAGCTGCTTCGGTAGTAAGCACCCTCCACCAGGGTTCGAACCCGGAACCTTCCGGTTACAAGGCAAGCTGGTTCGTATACCATTCAGCCACTGGGACCCAATCAACTCGTAAAAAAACTAATCCTTACAAACCAAATATAGAAAATTCATCCAGTTATGTCTAATAATCGTAACCTATGCTCACTCTAAGAATTTTTTGAAGAAAATGGAGGGAAAACGTTGCAGAATATTGAAGCATGCTTTAGATGGTACATTATCGATTATTATGTTATTTGAAGATGCTTCACAATGAGTGAATACTTCACAATCAAAAACACGCTGAAAATTCTGTCCTGTGTATGAAGTTATTGTCATCACTACTAGTGTTAAACCAGCAGAATGGATATGAGGTGTTTAAATCAGTGATCTGACTGGCAAGCACTAGTAATTGAAATCAATGGTATCCATCTACTCATATTAATTAACCAGCAGTTTATGCTGCCACGCACTTCCAACTGTCACTATATAAGCAAATACTTACAGAAACGCTGACGTATAATTCACATTATTTACTTTACACAAATTCTAGTTTCACATGCTTATTAACATTGGTGTGACTGTCAAAAAGTAAGCGACAGGAAGGAAGACCGGTATGTCTGGTATACGTATGGGATGATTACAGATTACATTCAACGGTGAATCTCGATCATTTTATTGGTGAAACAACATATAAGCATCATTTTCATTCAGGAATACATAAATAATTGAGGTGATAATTTACACGGTTTGTTTTAAAAAAGGTAGTTAGGTGTGATAACAGAATAGAAGTAATAACGGACCGACACCAGTCATATAGCCACTTTAAAACCAGAGGGTATTGTTCTGTCCTCGTTTGCAGCTCTTCATCCCTACAACAGATGGAATCCAGAAATTCCTGGCTGCAAGCAACTAACACAGTATCACTCATTCTATGTGGCAGGACGCAATGGCTCATGAATTCCAACTTCTAACACTTCACAATACAGACAGCTACCATTGGCTAATGTCATCGGCAAGTAGAGGTCTTCACACGTGAATAAATAAACCCCATCGAATATGACTGCTAACTACAGCTCCAAAAAGTCCACATTGTTGTCAGTCATTAATAAAGAGCGAATTAATTTTCAGGTGTTTATCTGTGGTAGTTTAAGTATTTCATCGAATTAACTGGTAATGAAACCCGATATTGTGAGTCGTCAGAAGTTAAAATTCAATGACTATTGAATTCTGTAGCTAAATGGCAACATGCTTGCCTCGCTACATAAAGGTCTTGAATTTGATCCCTGATGATATTATGCATGATATAGTCTCAAACTTGGACAAAACGGTGCCCAGTGGTTCGAAATGTTTCACTAACTGACGTCAGTTCATGATGAAATCTAACATGAAATCCATGAGGATCACATAAATCTATGATGAAATTTAATCTTACTTCTTGAATTACAAAGACTTTATACAAAAAGAATATCTAACAAGGCCAGTGACAGCTTATATTGGAAATTATGCGTGATAACATCCCAAGTTAGTGGAAATAATTATTTGTGAAATCATATCCAAGAATTTCAGAAGCATCAATACAGTTAACTTGACACAGCTATCATCCGCTAAGTCAACAATCTAGTAAGTGTCATTCTCATTCTTCAACTTTCCAATCAAAGTATGTTGGAAACAAGGTCCACACTACGGAGCTTGACAATACTCATTATAGTTAAACACACAACAATGGACTTTCATGAGTACTAGAAAGATAGATGAGTAAGTTTAAAATGCTTCCAACATTTCAAAATCCTATGACAAATCTGTCTTGTAACTTGAAAATCCCAATTAACTCATATAAAAGAAAAGAAGGCGTTCAGCGAAGAGATTCTTTTCGGCGAATTCATTCACTGAGCTGTACAATCGCATTTATATACAATTTTGTTTGTGTGTGTGTACATTAGATTTATAAAGTTTAGATAATTACGTAAAATAAGTATTATTTGGATTGGAAACAAACGTTAATTAAATAGAAAATAAAATAAAATTGATTAAGTGAATTGGATTATTATTATTATTGTTCCGTTGGGTTCCTAGTGGAACATAGGGCTTCAACTGCACGTCTCCACTTGCTTCTCTCTTCTGCTGTACTTTTCACCTGCATCCATGTTATTCCATACTGTTTCAGTTCCTCATCACACGATCTCCTCCATGTCACCATTGGACGTCTCACTCGCCGCTTACCTTTCGGGTTCCACTCGAGCGTTGGCCTGACGCGCGATGTCACCCAGTGGCCTCCTCAGCGAGTGTCCAATCCATCTCCACTTTCTCCTGCATATCTGTTGAGCGATTGGTTCTTGTTTTGTTTGTTCCCATAGTTTCTTGTCGGTGATTCTTTCCGGTCATCTGATCTTCAGTATAGAGTGAAGACAGTTGTTGATAAAGGTCTGCAACAGGCTGTTGGAAATATTCTTTGTGACCCACCAAGTTTCTGATCCGTATAGAAGAAGTGACTTGACGTTTGTACTGAAAATCCGAATTTTGTTGTTGATGGTGAGTGACGAAGATTTCCAGATTGGTTTCAGGTTGATGAATGTGTTTCTCGCCTTCCCGATTCTCGATTTGACATCCTCGTCTGTTCCTCCTGTAGTTGAGACAATGCTCCCTAGATAAGTGAAAGAAGTAACCTCTTTCAAATCCTTCCCGTTGATGGTGATTGGCGCTGGATGTTGCCGCTGTTGTTGTTGGTGGTGGTTGGTTATTTTCATAACCTCCGTCTTGTCTATGTTCACCTGGAGTCCTGTCTTTGCTGCTTCTTCGACCAGTTTGTCGGTTTCCGCTTGTAAGTCTTCGATTTTGTGTGACATCAAACATAAATCATCCGCGAAATCCAGGTCTTCTAGATTCTTCACGTCGGTCCAGGATATCCCTATCTTCTCGTTTCCCACTGTCTGACGCATAATCCAGCCTAGATTACTAGGTCACTAGTATGCTAGCCGGTCCCAAGTCCGGATAAAGAGGGAGGGTTGGGGCGTGGTGCTAGCAACTCCATCCCCAAAACTTAACCAAATTGCTACTAAAACTTCAACGCACAAATATATTCAAAGTGAACTGGATGACGTAATACAATTGAGTAGAATTCAGAGTAGGTCAGGTTGGCAACAGTGTTAATGAGTGGTGGCTAAAATTAAATAAGGATGGGGGTAGAGAATAATACAGTTGAAAATTAAGTAAGTTAATCGGATGACGCGTCGGTGGTATAGCGGTTAGGACGCTTGCCGACCATGCACATGGTCCGGGGTTCGATCCTCGGCCACCAACATACCCGTTTACCTCGCTGGGCCAGAAATAATGCTGATCAAGAGGAAAGGTTGGGCATGAGGCTAGCAACCCCATCCTGTAAAATAAACACTGCTACAGAAGCTTCAAGCCACTAGCTTGAGGCCCTATGTTCCACTGGGAACGTGAAGGAGAAAAAAAATCGGATGACGTAATATAGTTGACTAGAAATTGGACGTGGGTCGAGTTAGCAACATTGTTAATGAGGGTAGAGATTACAAAAGGGTGATGTAGAGAATAACACAAATGAAGATGTGAAATAATAAAATGCAAAAGACAAAATAATACAATTAGTAAGACTGAAATTAAGAAAGATTACGTCCATTGTAGATTTAATGAATGAACGAATTTCTTTTGTATGCAGAGTTCAGGATTTAGCAGATGAATTGCCATTGCTTCTGCGATGTGGAGAAGTTTGATCCGTACACTTTTAGCAAGATTGTCTTGTATCCTGTTGATAACTTTGAAGTTTATTTGTGGTTTGACTTGGTGTCCTGAATGGATCAAATATTCAAGGATCTAGCTGCGGGGGCATCGTTTTTTCCTTTATAAAACCATGAAGGTAAATGTTCGTTGACGCGTTTGGATAGCAAACTCTGAGTACGGCCGATATACCTGGCTCCACACGAGCAGGTGAATAGATAGCTGCACATAGAACAAGTCTTGAACAAGTATTTTATAACTCATCGGTAGCTGTTAGGCAAACGCGCACTCACTGCCAGAGTTGAACAGTATTAGAAAATGATATCAATTGTTGCTTATTTAACCATAAATTTATCTATATCCAGTAGTTTAATACCATTACTGATTAAAA